CCACAGGGCTGGCGGCTTCGCGGGCTGGCCCCAGGCGCGCGCGTGCGTTCGCAGGTCCTGCCGACCGCGCCGCGATGGAGCCTCGTCATGTGGCACGGCCCTGGCAGGACGCTCATGGTGCCTCGCTCGGCACGCAGAGCGTGGAGCCTGTGAAGCAGCAGCAGCAACAGCAGAAGAACCCCTGGGCCCAACAGGTCCGCCTCGCGCGGAAAGCGCGCCAGGTGGCGACGCAGCGGGCAGCGAGCCATCAATTGCAGTCTCAACGTCAACTCATCTCCGATCTGCAGTGCCAATTGCGAGCGTGGCACCAGTGGTGGCAACAAGCGCATCATGAGCCTTTTTGGGGACAGCGCTGGATGCCAGAAGACATCAGCTACAGCGCCGAAGCGGACGACCCCTGCGGGAAAGGGCGGGCGTCGCCCCAGGCAGCTGGCGGAAGCAACGGCAGTGGCAGCAGCGGTCAAGAATCAAGAAACAATGGCAGGGGACGGCAGTGGCAGCAGCAGTCCAGAGTCAAGACTCAAGGAAGCAACGGCAGTGGCAGCAGCGGTGAAGAGTCAACACTCCAAGTGGACTCAGCCATGCGCGAGAGAAAGGAAGGCGAAGATAGAGCCCGACGCGATCATCTACGGTTCAGGGATCAGGGCAAGCTTGATGCGACCTCGGGAATTGGCGCTAGGAATGGAGTACAGTCGTCATTAGCTGCAGGCGCGGCCGCCCGTGCGCGTGATGTGGCGCCAGCAACAGCGCCAGCGAAGCAGGAGGGCGATGACACAGGCCATCTAGACGACAGAGCCCAGACGCCATCGCAAACACATCACTGTGAGAAGCAGGCGGTGAGGATGGAGCCCCTCACCAATAACCTAGCCGAGGACCCAGCCAACACGTGCGAGACGAAGGAAGGCGAAGATAGAGCCCGATGTGATCATCTACGATTCAGGGGACAGGGCAAATGTGAAACGAGGGGCACGGCAGCGGCAGTGGCAGCGGGCAAGAGCGGCAACATCACTACGCCATCAGTTACCGGCGCTGTGCGAGAAGAGACGGCAGTGGAAGAGGACTTGCTTCGGGCCGTGCGAGAGCACACCATCAGCTGCAGCACGGCGAAGTTGCAGCTGACGAATCAGCGCATTGGCGGCACCCAGGCGCGTGAGAAGATTGCCGTGGCAGCTGAGGTCATCGGAGCTGCGGCGAGATCGGGTGCGCAGTGGCGATCCGCGGCCCGTGCGGCACTAGAGGCGGCAGGCATCTGCGCGCCCAACGCGGCTGCTTTCGTCTCCATGGCCGCCGACGGCATCCCCATTCCAGCATGCATCGAGGCGATCTTCGCTGGTGTCGTAACCAGCGCCCACTGGTCCGCGGCCGACCAGGGCGACGCGTCCGAGCACGACGACGCCCGCGGCCAGCGCGCGACCAAGGATGACGCCGCCACCAGCCCCAGGACCACTCCTTCCAGGAGGACTCCGACGGCTACCACCACGAGTACAGCGGCGGCGCGAGGCAGCCTGCGAGAAGCAGCAGGCGGCGACCCGAGGCAGCCAGCGAGACGCAGGGTTTCGTTCGACCTGCGCAGCCACCTCGAGCGGCCCCAGGACCACTCTCACGGGGAGGACTCCGACGGCCGACTCGACGACAGCGACCCAGCGAGCCAGAACGACACAGAGAGCAACGCCACGGACAGCGAGTACGACGGCGAAACCACGTACACCGAGAACCACGACATGGCGGCAGCCGCGCGGGAGGCAAAATCTGGCGGGGCAAATTTCGGCGCCCCTGCAGGGCGAGGGGGTAGGCCCTACGACGACCCGCCCAGACCAGGAGGACGGCCCACTTGGGGGCCAAGCCTCCGCCCCGCTCCGACGGGAACCAGCAGCACGCCTACGGGAACCAGCAGCACACCTGCGGGAAACAGCAGCACACCAACGGGCACCAGCAGAGCATCGGGCACCAGCAGGCCTTCTTCAACCGCACTGGCGCCCACGGCGCCTCCCAGCACAACCACTTCCTCATCCTGGAGGGCGCCCACCTGAACGGCGAGTTCATCATCGCCGTCGCCCCCTCGGGTGGTGAGCGTGCCGCCTTCCTTAGGTGGAGGAGGCTGGCGGCCACCGAGGGGGGCAAGATCATCGTGTTCGGCTCCCACAGGGAGTACCTCTTCTGAGAGGGGGGGAGGAGGTGGCCCCCCCCTCGGGACGGCTGCGTCCGACAGGACATCGAGCCGATAGCGATAGCGATAGCGATAGGAGGAGGAGGAGGAGGAGGAGGAGGAGGGGAGGGGGAGGAGGAGGGCAGGAGGGGGAGGAGGAGGGGGAGGGGGAGGGGGAGGGGGGGGAGGGAGGGGGGAGGGGACGAGGAGGAGGAGGAGGAGGAGGAGGAGGAGGAGGAGGAGGAGGAACCCACAAATGCTGTCCTCTCTTGGGAGGTCGGCCCTTGCTTCCGCCGGCTTCCGCCGGCCCTCCACCGGCCGAGCCGCCGCCGCTCTGCTCCCGCCGCCTTGCGCCGGCCCTCCGCCGCCCTCCGCTGCAGAAGCCACGGCAGCTCCTTCTGACTACCTACCATACCAAACCACCCCAACCCAACCCCAAGACCCGAATTTCGGGTTGGGGGGGGTAAGGGTTCCACATGTGTTTTTGCGATGTTTCCCGACCCCCCCCCACTGGAAATGGAGGGTAAATCTGAGCCTTCGGGTTGGGTTGGGGTGGTTTGGTGGGTGGTGACCTTCGATCCTCGGAGGCAGAGCGCTTTGGAACGCCCCGTGCGTGCCAGAAGCTTCCCGGCAGCTCGCCGGCGCAAGAGGACGGACGATGAAGACCGTCGCGGCACACAAGACCTCCGACGGCTCAGCGCTTCTGCGGCGTGCCGCCCTCTGGAAGACTCGAGCTCTCTTACCCAGGACCGGCATCCATCTGAATCTTTACAGGGGGCCCAGGGACACACACACACACACAAATAAACACAAACCAGAAGATTCCCCAAAGTTTCAAATAATTCATGGGTTTTCGTCTTCCCCCCCCCCGCTTCCCATATTTTCCATGTTCTCTGGGAAATCAAAAACTAATTGTGTCTGTGCACTTCTTCCCCTAATGAATCTAGGGGGTCCCCAAGCGGTGTGGTGACACACCGTGCGGCGACCTCGGACTACCCCCAAAAAAAACTCACCGCAGGGTCCGTCACTGCACCGTCTGGAGGCCTTGGAGGCCCCAGTTTTGACCGAGAGACATTATCGGAAAAGGATGTAAGTCCCAAAACCGTGCGGCCACCGTCAACCCGACTCCACACTGACTCACCACACGGCGTGGTCATCGCGTCGTCGTCGTCGTCGTCGTCGTCCGTCGTCGTCGTCCTCGTCGTCGTCGTCGTCGTCATCGTCGTCCGTTGTCGTCGTACTCGTTGTCGTCGTCGTACTCGTCGCCGTACTCATCGTTGTCGTCGTCGTCGTCCGTCGTCGTCGTCCGTCGTCGTCGTCGTCGTCGTAGTAGTCGTCGTCGTGGTTGTCGTCGTCGTCTTCATCCGTCGTCGTCTCCGTCCGTTGTCGTCGTCGTCGGCGTCGTCGTGGTCGTCGTCGTCGTAGTCGTGGTCGTCGTCGACGTCGTCGTCTTCGTCGTCGCCGTCACCACGCCTATGGCGATCTCAAGGGGCATGGCAGCGGACTCTGGACGCAAGGCAAAGAGCCGACAACAAAAACCGCAGCGCGCGCCTCTCGCGAGAGAGGCCTCCGTAGAGGCCTCTGGGCCCCAGACGTACCGGAGGCCTCCCTCAAGGAGAGCAGCGATGACAAGATCGCGCAGACGCCTCGCTTGTCGATTCATCCCTCCTCTCTTCCTTCAGAGACGAAGGTCGCACAGAAACCTCGCTCGTGGATCCTCCCTCCTCGCTCATCCTCGCTCCTCGCTCCTCGCTCCTCGCTCCTCGCTCCTCGCTCCTCGCTCCTCGCTCCTCGCTCCTCCTCCTCCTCCTCCTCCTCCTCCTCCTCCTCCTCCCTCCTCCTCTCCTCCTCCTCCTCCTCCTCCTCCTCCTCCTCCTCCTCCTCCTCCTCCTCCTCCTCCTCCTCCTCCTCCTCCTCCTAACCCCTTTCGGGTCCGGGATGGGCCCTTGAGGGCGGCGCACTTGAAAGGGGCGCAGCCGCCCCGAGCCACGGGGCGGGCCATGTCGTCTTCATTTCGGGAATTGTGAGGATCGAGACCCGCCAGGAGAAGATGGCGACAAAGTTCGGGAGGCGCGATTTCTTCGGCAAGGTCGTCATGGGAAAGGCTTCGGAAAGCAAGGGAGGATGCGAGGTGAAGATGAACGTCATCAGCACGTCATTGTGCACTCTCGCAAGCATCGTAGGTGTTGTGATGATCAAGACCCGCCAGGAGAAGATGGCGGACAAGGTGCTCTGGCAGTCCAGACGCGTAGCAACGCTGCTGCTACTGCTGCCGGCGCACTGTTTACCTCGCAAGTGGGAGTCGGTGAACTCGCTCCCCGCCCGTGCGCCGCAGGGCCACGACCTTCAGCTCACCCCGGCTCCCCCTCGAGAGCCTAGGATTTTCAAGAGAAAACTGCACTTGAATTCGGGTCTGGGTGGGTGGGGACACGCGTCTCGAGCTCGGCTCGCCTATAGCCAAAACGGCCACCGGCGCCCTGCTCCCGCGTGCCCCCCCTCCTAACTCACCCCTGGCAGAACTCACCCTTACAATCGCAAAAATGTACGAAATGCGTGACGACATGCCCCTCTCCCTACTCAACGGCCTAAGCAAACAATCAATACACCCCTCACTTCACACGCCACTCCAGCACTACAGGTGACACGTGCTCACGCTGTCTGCAGGTATGTGCGTGCGCCGGCACGGCCGCGCGCGAACTCCGCGCGCGCCCAGTACGCGCGACGTTGCTACTGCGCTCGCAAGCGTGCTTCTCAGCAACGCTGCTGCTACTGCTGCCGGCGCACTGTTTACCTCGCAAGTGGGAGTCGGTGAACTCGCTCCCCGTCCGTGCGCCGCAGGGCCACGACCTTCAGCTCACCCCACTTGCCCGATGGCGCGCTGACGGGACGCGAGGCATTTCTTGCACGAAACGCCTGTGACCGGGCACCTCTCGTGCCACGAGCGCCCGAACCGCCAACCGCACCGAGCGACCCACATGTCCGTGGGAAACACAGCGTCACCCACAACCACCTCGTGAACCTCCCCCTCCGTACTGCGGACGCCCCCCACCAGCTCCTTCCGCTCGGCAGCCCATTGCTTGGCCCACACCTCGTGGGCCTGTTCTGAGGCCGCGTGCAACTTCCCCTCCCAAGAAGCAAATGCCGCCGCGCACCTCTTCTCGACCTCCGCTTCTACGGTTGTCCCGCCACACTCCGCTACTACCTCTCGCAGTAACGATTTGAGGTCTGACAACGAGGGCCCCGGATCGCTCCGGCCACCCGGGCCCCCTGCCGCGGCCACCCGGGAAGCTTCCGAGACCCGCTCGCCCAAGGCGTCCCCAACGTACTTGCGGACGGTGGGCCCTCCCCACCGCCCCAAGAACTCGATGTGCGCCATGGGAACCCCACGCCTCGCGTAGTACTGGGCGCCCATTCTCCTGAGCGAATGCTCGGAGAGGCGTGCCGCCCCGGCTACTCGCCGCAGGGTGGCCACGACCCCCTCCCTCGAGGGCGCGGTGCCTCCCCCGGACGGGAAGAGGGGGAACTTCCCGTCCCACCCCCTGCGATCCCTCTCCTGCAGGATCCGCAACAGGGCGTGCACGGGACACGCCTTCTCAGCGAGCCCGGCCTGGCCGGGTACAGCGCACGAGCACATCAGGCTGCGCGTGCACTCGCGGCCTTCGGGGTTGGTCTTAGTGGCCCCGAGCTCGATGCACGCAACCTGGGAATCCGCCGACGCCCGAGCCTGCTCCCCTAGGATGGCGGCGGCCTCCGCGCCGCGGAGCATCCACGCCGTGGCCACGATGACCATGTCAGTGGGCCGGATCGGGCCGCCTATGGCTACAGGCTCAGTCAACGGTGCGCGTTCCAGCACCTCCTCGAAGCGCACGGTCTCTGCCTGTTTCGCCGGCCCGATGCCACGCTGCAGGCTACGGTTGGCCTCCTTTGCCGCCGCGGACAATTCCGGGCCCCACGCGAACCCAGCTTTGCAGTGCAGGTGGCGCCACAGGGAAACGTACTCCGGCCCCGTGCGGTACCGCCCCACTTTCAGCGCACCTGCGAGGAGGGCGACTGTGTCAAGGGTGGCCGGCAGCAGTGGGACGCCCGCCTCGCCCGCAAGGCGCCGCAGAGTCTGCTCCCGAGACCTGCGCGACCGCCACGTGGTTTTGGCGAACACCCCTGCCTGCGGCTAGAGTCCTCCGCGCGCGTTCCCTGCCTTCGGCGCTCCGTAGCACCGCCCGGGCAGCCGCCCCCGAACCGCGAGCGTACGCTCGACGCACGGCGGCGAGCGGTCGCCGGACGCGTCTCGTGTCCACGCCGACGTCGAGCGCCCCCTGCGGCGCCGCCAAGCCCTGGCCTCTGTGCTCCGCGTCGCAACGTACGGCTGCCGCCGGCGCGGGCGCCTCGACACCGCGGCCGTCGGGCCCTCCGGTCGCGGCCGCGCTCGGGCCCTGCGCGCCACTCGCCGCCGCCGCCGCAGCCGCCGCCGCCGCCGCGCCCCCCGCTCTCTGGAGGGCCCGCCACAGCGACGAACTGCCAGGCACGTTGTACGCCCCAGGCCCTGGGGCGCCCAGCGTGTCGACGCGCAGCAACGCGCCGGCCCCCGTCAGGCGCCCCGCGCTCGCAGGGGGCAAGCTGCAAAAGGACAACGCCACCATTAACGCCCATCCGTACGCTCCACTTCGGGGCCGCCCATGGTTTCCCACCACGTGCCGTCTCGCTTCGCTGGGCGCGTGCGGGGTCGTGCCAGGAGCGCCCGCGGCACTTCGGCAGCCCCGCCCGGCTCGTGCAGGCGCGACAGCGCGTCGGCCCAGGCATTGTCCTTGCCCGCCAGGTGCGCGTCCACCTGGCACCGGCCTTCGGCCAAGTCCAGCGAGAGCTCCCTGACCACAGCGTTGAGGGCGGGGCTCGCCGACTTCAGGTTCGCGGTCGCCCCCAAGGCGGCCCGAAAGTCGCTCCTCAACACGACGGCGGCCCTCTCGTCCTTCCACGCAGGGAGCCACTCGCGGACCCCGATGAGGATGGCCAGCGTCTCGAGGAGGGCCTGGAAACGCGAGTCCCCCACGCGGATCCCAAGGCGCACCACGTCCTCCGTGGTCACCGCCTCCGCGAACCAGGACAAGACCTGCCCGCACACGACTATATACCCGCCATATCCCCATGGCGAGGCGTCGAAGACCAGGTTGACCGCCACCCTCTGGCGGCACTGGCCCACGCAGTACGTGCGCGACAGGGCCCCCCTCTGTCGCTTGGCGAAAGCCGCGAGCCAGCGGAGAGCGTGTGCCACCCGCGGGCGCGGCACCCCCGCAGGGACCGCTCCTGGACGCGCGGACGTCGACACCTCCGTGATGGCCGCCCACAGCGGCGCGACCATGCTCTTGAGGTACGGGACAATCCCGCCCGCCCAGGCCGCCCGGCCCGCCAGCTCCCTCAAGCGAGCGACGGGGACCACCGTGACCGCGAGAAGCTGCTCCGCCTCGGAGAGCAACTCGGCCACAAAGGCGTCCGGCAACGCAAGTGTCACCTCGCTCGGGCCGAGGATTCGCACCTCGGCCCCGATCCACGTCACGGAGGTGCCGAGCTGGACCTTGCGCCAGGACACTGGCGGGCCCACCGTGAGCCACCAGAGGAGCAGGATCACCTTGTTGCGGGCTCTCTGGGCCGAGTTGCCGAACCACGCGGTCCAAGGGTCGTCCACGTACACCTGTATACGCGCCTCCTGCCGCGAGAACAGCGCCTGCCCCGAGCGGCCGAGGAACGCCGCGGCCCTCCCCCACACGAGCGGCGAACCGCCGCCGCCGAAGAGGATTGTCTCGTACCCGACGAACTCCCCCTCGAAGCCGCGCGCGATCTGGTGCGGTAGCTCCTCCGATCGCACGCCCACGGAGTGGAACGCGTCCTCCCAGTCCAGGACCATCATGTCGACGCCAACGCCTCTCGCGCAGGGGCGCCTCCATAAGGGACATGAGGTCTTTGAGCACGTCCAGCAGGCGCGGCAACACAATGCGCTCCGACATCTTGACGTGCTCGTTCGCCCTGCTGCGGAGCATGTCGATTATTAGCCGCACTTTCTGCGACCCGTCCGGGCGGGCCTTGACCACGGCCGCCATCTTCGACGCGATCACGTCCCGGAACCGTGCCAGGAGCGCCTCCCACGAGGAGTACCTCGTGACGAAGCCCTTTCCCGCGAGGCGCCGTATCTCTTCCCGGACGGCGCCCTCGTTCTCCTCCACGCTGGCGTAATTCCCCCCGGGTTCCACCAACGCACAATGCTTTCGCAACTCGTGGTGGGCCGCGCCGGTTGTTTCCACTCTCGGGAACACCCCGGCAGACGGGATCTCTAGAGATACGCCCGTCGGAGCCCCATGCTCGAGCCAGTCGGCCAAGTGGACTTCGGGATCCCTGGCCGCCCGGACGAAGGCCCGCACGAGGCCGGGCCGCCACGCCGAGCGCCGGCTTCGGCCCGTGGATTCCGCCCCCAACGCCTCCCCTAGAGCAACCGCCAGCTCCTGCCCCACTCGGGCCTCCACTCGGCGCCAGCCGTCGGCCCCGCCCTCCAGCAGGGCACGGACGACCCAGCAATGCTTCTCCAGGAAGCACTCGAGGGCGCCACGGACCCTCCTCCCCGCTTCTTGCAGCAGGGGCATGCGCGCCACGGCCCTCGCGGGGTCGCGCATGCCCCCTATGCACTCTCGGTTCTCCCTTTCCCTCACATGCTTGGCCGGCTCTGCCGGCTGGTTGTTTGCCGTGTCGCCGGGCGCCGGGCCGGCCACCCTCGGGCCTGCCCGGGCGCGCACCAAGGCGTTGCCCCACTTCCCGGTCCTCACCAGCCGTTCGCTGGAGACGTCCGCCTGTCGGGGCGGCGGACGGGAAAGAGGGGAAGCACGCAAACAAAAGAGGGGAGCGAGGGAGGAGGGGGGAAGGCGAGGAGGAGGGGGCGAGGCAGAGGAAGGACACACACACACACACACACACACACACGCACACACACACACACAACACACACACACAGACGGGCACCCAGGAAAGCTCTCGGCGAGGACGCGGCAGCCCAACCGAGGACCGCAACTCGTCGCGCCGGCGGACTCCCTCGAGCGCCGGCACCGCAACTCGTCGCGCCGGCGGTACCTCCCAAGCGCCGGCAGGCACGACCACTCTCAGGCCGCGGCGAACACTCCCGAAGTCAACCACCAGACGTGCCGGGGGACGGACGAGGAGGAGAGGCGAGAAGAGAGGGAGAGGAAGAGCGAGGGGGGGAGGACACCACGCAAACAGACACGAAAAACGAGGACCGAACACGAATCGCGCGCGCTTAGGTTCTCTCCCCCCCCCCCTCTGCGCTGCCGCACCCTCCCCACAGCCTCACTACCTCAAGCGAGCTCACACCTCCCCCGGGGTCTCCCCGAGCTGCGCGCCTGAGCCGGCGCGGCGACGCCGCTGTCGCGCGCGATGCCCAGCGCGGGCTGCGTGTGCACCGACTCCGCTAGGCGCGGGCCGCCGCGGCAGTGGCCACCTCCAGGCGAACCGCCGGCGGCCGCCTCCCCCAGCTCCCCGCCCGCGTCTCCCGGGCACTCCCCCGCGTCTCCGCCCGCGCTCACGGCAAGCTTGACGCGCGGGCCGCTGCACCCACGGCCACCTCCAGGCGGGCCGCCAACGGCCGCCTCCCCGGGCGCTTCGCCCGCCACTCCCGGGCACTCCCCAGCGCCGCCGCGCGCACTCTCGGCAAGCGCGACGCGCGGACCGCCGCGGCCACCGCCGCCTCCAGGCGAGCCACCGGCAGCCGACTCCCCTGGCCCCCTGCCCGTTTCTTCCCGGCGCTCCCCCGCGGGCCACCCTGCACTCTCTGCAGGTGGGGCAAGGCCCGCCGCGGGCCCTAGTCAGCCCATGGCGCGGCACGCGATCGTGCGGTGCGGCTGGCGGCACCACTCGCAGACGTGCGCGCGGTGCATCGGGCACGGCTCGGCGCACCCGCTCGGGCTCCGGTTCCAGTCCCAGCAGATCTGCACGCCCTCTGCTGTCCGGAAGTACCGGCCGTCCGACGTGGGGGCCCCCTTGCCCTTGCCGGCCCCTTTGCCGCCTGCGCCGGGCCCCCGGCCGCCGCCCTTGCCGCCGCCGCCGCCGCGCCCGCCTCCCCCGTTCTGCCACGGCGGCCTCCCGCCGCCGCCGGCGCCCGCCTCCGGGCCGCCCGCGCGCGGGGTGAGCTCGGCCCCCCGGCCCCGCTTGGGACGCTTCTGGCCCGGGCTGCCCGCGGCCTCCTCGGCGAGCTGGGCCGCCCGCTTGCTGCCCCTGGCGACCTCCCGCAGGGGCCCGACACCGTCGTCGGTCACCGAGGCCAGGGACTGCACGTGCGTCGCGTACCTGAGCGCCTTCTTGTCGACCTCCTTGCCCCAGAAGGTGTCGTCCCGCGCGGCCTCCCTGAGGACGTAGTCCCAAGGGTGCTCCGGCTCGAACGCGGAGGGCAGCTTCGCCGTCACGAGGTCCTTGTGCTCCTTGGCACACCGCCTCCGGATGCGCTCTAGGTGCTCGCTGCGCATGTGCATGTCCGCGAGCGCCACGATGAACCAGTACTGCGGGTAGTCCTCCGCGAGCTCGCACACCTTCTCCTTGTACCTGTCGAGGCGCGTCCGGCTGGCCTCTCCCAGGACCTCCATCGCGAACGAGAAGACCCGCCAGGAGCGCAGCCACTCCTGAAGCGAGGCCGGCCCGCTGTACTCGCGCTGCTGGTATCCCCCGGTCGGCTGGGGGATGTAGGCCTGGAACTTGAGCGTCCGAGCGACCCGGGCCCCTCTCGGGCGCCAGATCCCCATGTCGACGCACGGGGTCGCCCCGGACTGCACCCGGAAGGCGAGGGCGGCTAGCTGCTCCCCGGTGGCCTCTTCCTCCTCTGCCGGGTCCTCCCCGTCGTTGTGGCTGGTCTTCCACTTCTGGATGAGGCCCCGGAGGGCGGCCGCGTCCATAGGGTCGATCTCCGTGTCGTCGGCCTGCCCTGAGGTCTGATACGGCCAGATTTTGGCAACATGCTTTCGTTGGGCATCTACGGCCAAAATCGTTTTGGTCGTGGATGCAAAAGAAGACGTAGACGTGGAATGCACGAGGAAATGCCATATACGAAGGACGTGGCATTGAGATATCAATATACATGTGAGTTCGCAATGCGCTTTGCACCGGCAGTTCGCTTGTATAGTGAACGTCCAATTGAAACACCTATTATTGCGTGTTTGTCTTATTCCAACCCGCATTCGTACTTAACCTGGTTTGTTTTTGTTTCTCCTCCCCCTTCTCCTCCCCATCCTCCTCTTCCTCCTCGTCCTCCTCCTCCTCCTCCTTCTCCTCCTCCTCCTCCTCATCATCATCATCATCATTATCATCATAATGTTTCTCCTCCTCCGCCTCCTCCGTAAGTCTCGTCATCCTACTACTCCTACTCCTCATCCTCGTCCTCCTCGTTCTCCTCCTCCTCCTCCTCTTCCTCCTCCTCCTCCTCCTCCTCCTCCTCCTCCTCCTTCTCCGCCCCCCATTATTAGATGGATCCTTTCGAATGTGTTTTGCTCCTGGCGGCAGCTGGAAAAGGGGAGGGGGCAAGCCTTCACGGGGGGGCGCGTGGCCAGCACGGGGGGCCGCGGCGCGCAAGAGGCGGGCCGAGAACTTGACTCTGTTC